CCACTGCCTCCAGCCTTTCTCTCGCTGCAACATTCATCACCCATGCTTCACACCCATATAAGAAACGTTGGTAAAACCATACTCTCATACATTCCCTCTTTGCCTCCAAGGACAAAGTTTCTTTGTCTCCACAGACTCCTAAGTGCACCACTCACTTTTTCCCCTCATCAATTCTATGATTCACCTCATTTTTATAGACCCATCCGCTGACACGTCCACTCCCAAATATCTGAATACATTCACCTCCCCCATACTCTCTCCCTCCAATCTGATATTCAATCTTTCATCACCTAATCTTTTTGTTATCCTCATAACCTTACTCTTTTCCTGTATTCACCTCTTTAATTTTCTTCTTTTGCACACCCTACCAAATTCATCCACCAATCTCTGCAACTTCTCTTCAGAATCTCCCAAGAGCACAGTTGTCATCAGCAAAGAGCAGCTGTGACAACTCCCACTTTGTGTGTGATTCTTTATCTTTTAACTCCACGCCTCTTGCCAAGACCCTCGCATTTACTTCTCTTACAACCCCATTATAATATATTAAACAACCACGGTGACATCACACATCCTTGTCTAAGGCCTACTTTTACTGGGAAAAAAATTTCCCTCTTTCCTACATACCTAACTTGGCCTCACTATCCTCGTAAAAAACTCTTCACTGCTTTCAGTAACCTACCTCCTACACCATACACTTGCAAATCTGCCACATTGCCCCCTAAACCACCCTGTCATACGCCTTTCCAAATCCATAAATGCCACAAAGACCTCTTTAGCCTTATCTGAATACTGTTCACTTATTATGTTTCACTGTAAAAAACCTGGTCCACACACCCCCTACCTTTCCTAAAGCCTCCTTGTTCATCTGCTATCCTATTCTCCGTCTACTCTTAATTTTTTTCAATAATAACTCTACCATACACTTTACCAGTTATCTCAGCAGACTTATCCCCTATAATTTTTGCACTCTCTTTTATCCCCTTTGCCTTTATACAAAGGAACTATGCATGCTCTCTGCCAATCCCTAGGTACCTTACCCTCTTCCATACATTTATTAAATAATTGCACCAACCACTCAAAAACTATATCCCCACCTGCTTTTAACATTTCTACCTTTATCCCATCAATCCCGGGTGCCTTACCCCCTTTCATTTTACCTACTGCCCACGAACTTCCCCACACTCAAAACTGGCTCTTCCTCACTCCTACAAGATGTTATTCCTCCTTGTCCTATACACGAAATCACAGCTTCCCTATCTTCATCAACATTTAACAATTCCTCAAAATATTCCTTCCATCTTCCCATACCTCTAACTCTCCATTTAATAACTCTCCTCTCCTATTTTTAACTGACGAATCCATTTGTTCTCTAGGCTTTCTTAACTTGTTAATCTCACTCCAAAACTTTTTCTTATTTTCAACAAAATTTGTTGATAACATCTCACCCACTCTCTCATTTGCTCTCTTTTTACATTGCTTCACCACTCTCTTAACCTCTCTCTTTTTCTCCATATACTCTTCCCTCCTTGCATCACTTCTACTTTGTAAAAACTTCTCATGTGCTAACTTTTTCTCCCTTACTACTCTCTTTACATCATCATTCCACCAATCGCTCCTCTTCCCTCCCGCACCCACTTTCCTGTAACCACAAACTTCTGCTGAACACTCTAACACTTCATTTTTAAACCTACCCCATACCTCTTCGACCCCATTGCCTATGCTCTCATTACCCATAAGGTACCAGTTATCGGTATATAATGTATGCCCCTTACCAAGATAAGGTGCCATCATGTTTCTCACTACGTCACCTGAGATACCCAATAACATCTTGGTATCTTTCGATGTTTTACTTCCCGTGTATACAACAATATCCAACACCAGGCCACTGTCACAGTCACAGAGTACAAACAGTTTTATACCAAAGCGTTTCCTCTTGCTCGGTGTATACTGCTTGAATGACAGTCTACCTTTGAACAAAATCAAAGACTCGTCAATTACAACATTCTTGAATGGATAAAAGTATATGCTGAACGTTTGTTTGAGATACATGAAAACATTTCTAATCTTATATAACCTGTCACTTCTGTCAGGCCTGGTTTTGTCAGAGAAGTGCAGCATACGTAAGAGTAAGATAAACCTGTTCACTGGGATGATTTCACTGAAGACCGGGGTAGAAATTAGCCGATCTGTGGACCAGTATGCTTTTATATTATGCTTATAGACATGAGGCATAAGCATTATTGTTGCAAAAAGCAAATACATTTCTGCAACAGTTGTCTCTTTCCACCTGTGTAGTCTTGACTGTGGTGATATGATCGTATTTGCCATGGTGTACTCAAAATACTTATTACTTTCCCTGACAATAGTTTCCATCAATGGCTGGTCAAAGAATAATTCAAAGAATTCCAGTTCATTGGCCGTGGTTCCAAGGGGACAAGTAAGTAGAATTCCACTTTGAGAGTCATCAAAGTGGTGAGGCTTGGGAACAAAATTGGGATTTTGCTGCCAATCCCACATACGGTTTGCTGGTGGATACTGGGCATCATAGGCTGGTTGTGCGGGTGGTTGTGGTTGTGGTGGGCTGGTGGCTGATGCTCCGCTTTGTCCTTGAACTGACAAGTCAGCAGCGTGGGTCCCAGCGTGGCCTGGTGAGTCACGCATGGCGGTGCCACTACCATCACTACCACCATCCACTGATGCCTGTGGTCTATCCATGCCAAGTGTAGCCACATCATCCTCACTATCACTACCTAAAACTGGTGTAGGGCCACGGGATGTACTCCATCCCCTGGGCACAGCTTAGGGTACACTACCCGAGCGCATGCGGCGGCGAACATACCGACGCTTCACTGGTGAATATGATTCCTCACTATCACTGCTCGAATGATCGTCGAGCGCAATAAAATCACAATCCACGTCACTATCATCATCATTACTGAAGTCAGAGGCCTGGCCACGCGAAAATATTAGTTTTCTCTTGCATTGAGGCACAACCGACCGTGAGTCACGAGTGCCCACACCAGAGGTAGAAGGTTGAGGATCGTCAGGGTTTTCTGCACTATTATCGATATCCTGGTCATTCCTTTCGGTCACTAACTGATCAAAGCTGTAGAATTCGTCTTCATTTCCACTTCCATCAGTGTCAGAACTATCAGATAGGAAGAGGAGAGTCCCAGTTTTCCGGGGAGTGAGAGCTGACTTGCGACGAGGCATGGTGAACAAGGGTAACTGAGCCGGCGTTCCCACAATGCTATGCGGGGGCCTAGATTTTTTGTTTATGGCGCACACCCACCACGCAGACCCGTTCTCTCACATGTAGGCCTATGAGCGCTTTCGCGCTAAATTTGACGGCGCTAGAATTTTGGCGTAGATCTACGGTTTGGACACTCAACGTGAAGCCGTAGATCTACAGGACGGACCCTGAAAGGGTTGAACAATTTCGTCACTAAGTGAGGAGCATAATATAATAATGGTAGTGAGTTTGTGTCAGCCATCTTTGATACTGTTTTAATATCACCTTTGCACCATTTATAACATTGCTGGTATATTTTTAAATGTTTATAGTGTACCATACATATATTGAAACAAACAAAATAGAGGAAATCAGCTCTAATATACATTGTTTAGTTATGAATACTAGTCAGAGAGCCCATCATAGATCAGAGGCCTTGGTAAATGAGTATGTCACTAAGTGAGGAGAGGCTGTACATGGCAGGACAGAGTAGATTAGTAAATTGGAAAGGAAGAGCATCATAAACTTTCCTGACTAAATCTTTAAATTCAGAAAATGGAATAATAGATGGATGATGAAATTTAATGTAGATGATTGACATATGATGGAAATGGAAAAACAGCAAAATTAGAACATATAAAGAATGTTAGATTCTCTAAAAAAAATTTTTAGGGTATCATACCAAGAAAAGGATTGGGGAATTGTTAGTAATAAGAAATTGTCACCAGATAATATAAATTGTATGAAATTAATTTTCTTGTTGGTTACCTTAAAATATCTTTCAAATACTGTACAGTGAGACCTTGATTATGAATTTTGGATTTAACTGTCAGAATACAAACAGCAGACAGTCTGGAAAAGCTGACAATCTAGAAATTGTTTCCATATTAGTCCATTACTATTAGTCTTGGCAAAACAGTATCATTATTAAAATTTAAGATAGATGTCATTACCAGACATCCTCTCCCCCTATTAGTTTGTTAAATCGAGGTTTCGCAGAAAAAGCTGAAAAATGCTGTAAAAGCTCTACAGTATTGGAAAATGCAGCTGCTGCAGGGTGTCCACACCTAAAAAAAAAACTAATCAAAGAAGAGCTGAAAAAATGGATACGGGGATTAAAAAAAAAAAGTATGCTGACTGATAGGAGGAAAAGAAGAGATTTGATAACATACAGTGTGAGCTTATAAAAGCAGGGCTAGCAATAGGCCTCAGATATACAGTAAATTAAGAAAAAATGGAGCTGAAGAGATCCTGGAAAATTTTTCTTTATAGAGTGGTAGAAGAATGAAACAGCTTGAAAGAGAAGATATTAAGTAATACAGCCTCTCCTCGCTTAGCAACGTACTCATTTACTGACACCTCAGACTTGCGATGGGATCTCTGACCTAAATAATGTATATTAGAGCTGATTTCCTCTATTTTATTTATTTCACTACACAGTATACTACTGAATGAACATTTAATAATATATCAGATATGTTATAAATGGTGCCAAGGTGACATTAAAACAATATCAAAGATGATCGACACAAACTCACTACCATTATAGTATGCTTCTCATTTAGTGACAAATTTGCTTAACGACGTGGTCTCGGGAACAGAACTCCGTTGTTAAGTGAGGAGAGGCTGTAGTTATATAAATGACCATTTTAAAAGTGAAGGGCATCAGACATGTCTAATGGCTTATGATTTTTCCATTATTATGTATTAATAAATTACTCTACAGACATCATATATTCCAATATATTAAATTCATAACTTATTACAGCTTCAGCATGCATGGAATAGGAAAAGTTCCAGATGAGGTTGGCCATCTTATTCTGAGTGAAGATGGTGCCATCATTGCTGTAAGTAACTGTGTGTAAAAAAAATTGCTCAACACTACGTTTTTTAATGCTTTTTTAATATATAAAAATTAGGTCAAATTTAGATGGATATACACTACTGTATTTATGCTATTTTTAGTCAGAATTAAAATGGTAAACTTAAAAATTAATTGACTTGCTTTTTCTAAAGTTATTCCCTTTAAATGTGAAATGAAAATAGTTTGTTAGCAGAATTTTGGAAAATCTGTTATAATTATTCAGGAAGATATGCTATGCGAGGAGAAGGCTGGAGGCAGTGGAGATGTCATGTCTGAGAGCAATGTGTGGTGTGAATATAATGCAGAGAATTTGTAGTTTGGAAGTTAGGAGGAGGTGCGGGATTACCAAAACTATTGTCCAGAGGGCTGAGGAAGGGTTGTTGAGGTGGTTCGGACATGTGGAGAGAATGGAGCGAAACAGAATGACTTCAAGAGTGTATCAGTCTGTAGTGGAAGGAAGGCGGGGTAGGGGTCGGCCTAGGAAAGGTTGGAGGGAGGGGGTAAAGGAGGTTTTGTGTGCGAGGGGCTTGGACTTCCAGCAGGCATGCGTGAGCGAGTTTGATAGGAGTGAATGGAGACAAATGGGTTTTAATACTTGACGTGCTGTTGGAGTGTGAGCAAAGTAACATTTATGAAGGGGTTCAGGGAAACCGGCAGGCTGGACTTGAGTCCTGGAGATGGGAAGTACAGTGTCTGCACTCTGAAGGAGGGGTGTTAATGTTGCAGTTTAAAAACTGTAGTGTAAAGCACCCTTCTGGCAAGACAGTGATGGAGTGAATGATGGTGAAAGTTTTTCTTTTTCGGGCCACCCTGCCTTGGTGGGAATCGGCCAGTGTGATAATAAAAAAAAATAATAATAATATGCTAAACCTGTATGGGCCATGTAGTGCTAAGAAAAATCTGTAAGAAAGTCTTGTAAAACTTGGGCATGGTCTTAGGAGATGAGAGAAAGGGAAGGAGCATATGAAAAGCTTAAATATAAACTACCAAGAACCTTGTCTACCTTTCCCATCCCCCACCCTCCCTCTCTCGTATACAGTGGAACCTTGACTTACAAGTGTCCCAACATACGAGTTTTTTGAGATACAAGCCGTCGATCAGTCGATTTTTTTGCTCTGAGTTATGAGCCAGCTCCCTCCCCCCACTTCTCTCTCAACCCAAAACTTGGACACCTCTCTTGTTTCTCTATGATTTCATGCTTTAATTCCATGGAAATCATCCTCTTTTTCTTGTCAGCACTGTCCTTTACACTTACTTTCTTAGGACCCATGGTTAGAAAAGTGAAATTTGGCCAAATGACTGTAAAAATGTAAGCAAATCAGGAGAGAACTGCTCCCACAGCAAGGTAAACAGTGCACTGAGTTAGCTTCGTTCTGAAGTTCTTGTTGTTATAATAATGTACTTTATTATTAATTTAGGGAACTGAAGCTCTATCATTGTTGTAATAATTATTATTATTATAACTGTTATTACTGATAATTTAGGAAACTGAAGCCCCTCACCAGCATCAAGGTTCCTTGATGCTGGTGAGGGGCTCTTGATCTAGGGAATTGGATATGTGCTGTAGTTCCCTAAATTAATAATAATAATAATAATAACTATAAAAATGGAAATCATCATCATTTTCTTCTCAACACTGTCCTTTACACTTACTTTCATAGGACTGTTACGACTTAATCTTCACCGTAACAATAGGGGCACAAATAACTCCCATTTTTTTTTTTTTTATTTTATTACCAATCATTTAGTTTCATTGGTATTTGGTTAGTGAATTAAAATAACCACAAGCAATTATAAATGAAATACTATACAGCAAGAAACCCAATCTTACGTTCAAATTCTCATTAACAGAGTATGATACAATAATTTCAATTAATAATCTACTAATTTCACCATTTAACTCTTTTAGAAAGGTCTGAGGTAACGAAATAGTTATCTTTTATAAGTGACATGAATTACCAGACTTCAGGAAACTAATGGCAAAGGCAAGACAATAGACTTGGTTTAAAGTTTTTGTTTAAGCTAGGAGCTTTGGGTTGAAGACCCCCAACGAGTCAGAGCTAGGAGCTGACTGACTCACTCAACTACTTCATAGTATGACTTCAGTCGGTCAGAAGGTGACACGTGGGGTCAATTCTAGAACCCCCAATTGGTCACTACAGTAGTGGTTACACATTCGTAATACCTAACCTAATAATAAGTAAATATAATACAGTGGTTCCCCGCTATTCGGAGTATATCCCGGCAATCGTAAAATTCGCCAATCATAGAGGCATTTTCGATTAAACATGGACTCCGCTTTTCAAGGTTGGACGCGCGAGTCCGTAGTTTTCCGGGACGCGTACCCACGGCGTGAGCCATGGCGGCCCAGTCTGGCTTGTTTTTTAACCAGTGAGCGAAGGTCCCCCTCACCGTGCTCCAGCAGAAATATTTCATAATATTTTCCATTTATTTTTAGTGCATGCAAGTACTAAATAAGCTACCATGGCTCCCCAAAGAAAGCTCCTAGTGCCAAGCCTGTGTACTGAAAGTTGAGAAATACGATTAAATTTAAGAAAACCATCATGAACCATATGAAAGTGTAACAAGTGTGGCCGAACTGTCCAGGATGAAAGGAAACCCTACACCAACCTTATGTTCCGTAGTGGCCAAGAAAAATGAAATAAAGGAGGCTGTAAGTTCAAAGGGAGTAACTATGCTGACGAAAAATGAGATCACCAGTACATGGAGAGGTCTGAGAAGTTTATTATTGTGTTGATAATGAGAAACACTTAGGAGATACTCTTATGACTTTCGTTTATTGTGCAAAGCTAGGCAGTTGGCATGAAGATTTGGTAAATAAATTGGCCTGCAAAATAGTGGAGAAGTGAGTGAATTTAAGGCCAGCAAAGGCTGTTTGAGAGATTTTAAGAACCTACTGGCATACACAGTGTGGTAAGGCATGGTGAGAGGCGCCAGTTTCAGTCAAACACAAGGCGGCTTGAAAAATAAGTGCAGGAATTCCAGAGTACATAGAGCTGAAGGACTGAAACCTGAACAAGTTTCAATGTGACGAAACAGGCCTCTTTTGGAAGAAAATGCCAACGAGGACCTTCAATACACAAGAGAAAAGGCAATGCCCCAGGACACAAGGCCTATGAAAGACAGGCTGACTCTATTAGTTCTGTCTAATGCTAATGGGGATTTCAAAGTGAAGCCATTACTAGTGTACCATTCCTGAAAATCCCACCAGGAAAATGTTCAGGAAAAACAATGTTAGAAGAGTAAATTGTGTGTTTTGAAATCTAATAGTAAGGCATGGGTCAAGAGGAAATTTTCGTCGAGTGGTTCATTGAAGTGTTTTGGCCCTAGTGTGAAAGGAGTATCGTCCTTAAAAGAAAGTTGGATCTCAAGTGCCTGCTAGTAATGGACAATTCACCCTGCTCCATCCCCAAACTTGGATACCTAATTTTTCGAGGAGTTTGGGTTCATCACAGTAAAGTACTTCCCCCCTAAAACCAACTCACCTCTTCCTCCAACGCATGGACCAGCAGGTTATTGCAAACTTTAAAAAACACACAAAAGCAATGTTTCACAAGTGCTTGACTGTGACCACAGACACACACTTGACCCTAAGGGAATGTGGAGAGAACACTTCAGCATCCTCCACTGCATAACCCTTATAGGTATGGCTTGGGAGGGAGTGACTACCGAGACTTTGAACTCGTGCCTGGAGAAAATTGTGGCCAGATTGTGTCCGACAAAGGGATTTTTTGAAGAATTTGGACTGAATCGAATGAGCCTATGTCTGTTGTAAAATCAATTGTGGCACTGGGATTTCCATGGGGTTGGATGTGAGTTTGGAGGATGCTGGAAGACGTGGAAGACCCACTATGAAGAGCTCACCACTGAGGAGCTGCAAGAGCTTCAGCAGGAAGAGCAAACACATCGCAGCTCAGAATCTTGGCTGCATAGGAGGAGGAAGAGAGATGGAAGAAGGGGCCTTCTTCAGAAATTAACGAGATTATTACTAATGTGGGGTAAGATGGAAAGCTTTATGGAGAAACATCCACCCTAACAAGGTTGTTGCAAGCCAGGTTGGCTACATGTACAGTGACAAAGTACTGGGCCATTTTAGGAAGTTAAAGAGACGCCAAAACAGACTCTCTCCACAGTTAATTTGTAGAAAGGGACCTCCAGTGACCTCTCAAGATGTGGTCCTAGTGGCAGTAAGAAACAGAGAAAGAAGCAACCCCCAGAAAAGCAAATGGTACCTGAGGTGTTGATGGAAGGGGATTTCCCTCCAAACTATAAACAATCCACCTCTCCTCATCCTCCAGTCTCCCATACACTAAAAGAATCTCCAATAAAGTAAGTGTTATGCTGTTAATGTTTTCATTCATCATTTCCCATTGTTATTGTTTAAGTACTACATGCATATATCATTTTAAAAAAATTTTGTTTTAATAACTTCTGGTGACAGGAACAGATTAAGTGTATTTACATTAATTTCTTATGGGAAAATTGGATTCGTAAATTAGTAATTTTTTGTTTATAGTAACGCTCCAGGAACATTAAGTTACGATCAACGAGGGACCACTGTATTATAGTTTATAATAAATCATGGGGAAAGATATAATATAATATAATACATGAAGAACTTTTGCATGAATTCATACTGTACCTGATAATACTATCTTTATCTAGCTAGTAATAAAGTGTTCCTATATATTATTACAGAACTATTTTAACCAGCCTTTTATTTTTGTATGTAATGGAGTGGAAGTAGGGCGCGAAACACCTCCCCCCCTCCTCGACTGACAGTCCCATTGACTTGTACTCTCGTGGTGGGTAGCATCTGTCGTAGTAGCAGAGTTACCATAGACAGCAGTCCTACATCATCTCCAGCTTTCTCCTCAACATAGATGGTCATAAAATAACCGACTCATACTGTTAAATAAAGTATATTATAAGATTTCCAGGCCCTAGAAGGGCATCAGCAAT